AATTATTTTGGAAGAACACGTTTCCAGGGCTATGGAGGGGAGAATGGGATTGAATTGGATAGCTCTTTTCAAAGAGCTGGAACAGACATGAGAACAAAAAAATAATAAATTGGTCACGTCAATCCACGACTGTTTGTGGGACACTGCTATGCGCAATTGGCTGTCACATTTCGCCCACAAATATATAGTCAATTCACTTTATAGTCTATTCTGTGAAGCACTTTGAGATGTCTAGAAGACATGAAAAGCGCTATATCAAATGCAAGGATTATTATTATTTTATAATTCTACAATTCAGCACAAATAAATCAGTTTTCAGCTGTTATTGTCTCCTTTTAAAAAGATTCAAAGATCAATAGGTACCGTGAGATGACCTATTGATCATATAAAATTGCAGTTTGACTGCTGTAACCCAAAAATATGAGGAATTAAGACCTATCTGTCAGTTAAGAGTGCTTTATTCAGGGACGGTTGTCTACCAGCATCCACTCCTGGATAAACGTTGCTGGATTTGGGGGAAGAAACCAAATGACGATGAAGGAGCCGACACAACGCACACCAGGAGCCAGAAAAAAGTATGCAGTGTTGCGGATTGGGAATGAGACGCTAAGACTAAAAGAGGCCTGCCCCCAATTCTTAGTTCATTGATTGTAGGAACCCTGTGGGTTGGGTTGAATTCAGAATGAAACCTGCATTTGCTGCCATATATCTATGAGTTTATCAGTCCAGGGTAAACTGACAATGGATTTGCAACCCAAATCCAAGGTAAATTTCTCACCCTGACAGTATCAACCTGGACAATAACTTACACATGGGTCCTGAACCCATCACCTTCTAACCCAGAGGTGAGAGTGCTACTAGCCTGTCCTGTACCAGAATTGCCCTGCAACCCAGACAAAAGTGAAGACTCTGAACACCCCTGACTTAAAGCAACAAATATAATATGAGTGTTGAACCACGTGGTTTGCGACTCCCTCAAAAAGAGAGTCCAAACGTCATGAGATTCATCATGAAAATCCAATGGAGGCTCTATTGTGTTTCTGACTTCAACATTTCAAGGTTTTCAAAAGGTGAATGAGGGAAAAGATGTCAGAGGTAATATTGGGGCCACAAAAAAATCCTGGTTTTGGAGTTTGAATGGACTTTAATCCTTCTCTTCCTGTTTCACTTCTCTCTGGAGCATTTCATTGTTGTGCATCAAAAAAAGTTGCTTGCAACGGCTTTACAATAAAAATTGCCTCACTGTGTTAAAAGAATGCTTTACCACTGAAAAACTTGGGAATTCTTGACACCATGATCCTTATCTTGCACCTCACAATCATACACACATCCATTTTTTAACAGCCTCTGTGTTTGACAAACTCGTCCCTTCCAAGAACAAAAGCGGTCGATAAAAGTTCAAGTTAGACAGAAAACAGGATACAGGGCATCTTCACTGCCAGAGAACAGATGTAATCGGATAGTACTATGAAGTGTGTGCACTCTCCACAATCATTGGCATCAATGTGCTCGTCAGTGCCAAGTGGCTGCAACAACTCACAAGAACAGGCAAGTTGGACTCTCTCTGGCCAATATTTTGCTATGTTTTTCCACACAAAAATTAATAAATATAAACTGGGCTCTGCTGGAGCAGCTCATATTCACTTGCTGCATAATCAGACTTTGTTTCCCCAAGCCAGGAACAGGTGTTACTTCAAAATCTTGGCAATTGATGCCGTTCACAGTNAAAAAAAAGTTATCAAGAGCTGTAAACTGCACAAAAGCACAATGACAAGTTAATTTTGCAAAGTGGCTATAACACCGCAGTTTGCAGGATTGGTGGTCGATGTTTCAGCCGCAACATCCCTGCTCTCTGGTACTATCCCCTAAAATCCCTTCACCTTGTGCCCTCTCTCAACTCTTCGCGCTTCCTCACCTCGTCTTCAAACCCTGTTCAAACTAATAATAATAGGTGGCAGAGCTTTTTACAATGGCAGGGTGGAGCAAATCAACTAAACCTTACTTCAAAGACCATTCAAAATAATAATCGAGTCAAAATAAATAATATGGTCACTCAATCCACGACTGTTTGTGGGACACTGCTGTGCGCAATTGGCCGCGCTTCACCCACAAAATACAGTCAATCAATCACCTGTGACTTCACATTGCCACATCCTTGACCCCAGTATTTCCGATACAAATGTTTCTTAAAATGCATCGAGGGATCAAGACAATGGAATATCACTCAAGGTTGATGGAAAGTTAGAGCTTAAAGATTCCGGTGGTGAGTGCAACAAAGTCTCTTGAATCACTGGTGAAAGAAGCCAGTACTGAAGGAAAGGAAACTTCATGTACGGTGAAAGACTGAGGGGGCACTCCATCCTTACCTGCCTCAAATACACAACCCAGATACTGTAGTACCTTTTTCGAAAGGGGAAATCTAGTGAATCATTTTAAATTTGTACAGCGAAAAATGAAATGTAAATAAATACAAAACCGGACTAACCCTGCAATGATTTGCACAAGATGGATCAGGTATGGTTTCTGTGACTCCGCCTCCACCACAATCTCTCCCCTCCCCCTACCCAAGGCTGCCGAGACCATCATTCAAGCCTTTATCACCTCCAGGCTTGATTATTCCAATGCTTCCTTGCCAACTACCCTGTATCCTCTCCTGCCCCAGCAGACTGAATTAAAAATTCCTTTACTCAAATGCGAATGCTTCATCCCATCCCGCTTCTGCGATATGATTGCCCTAGCCATTTCCTTCACTCAACAAACAAGAGTCTGCTTCATGTCACCGGCCCAATTCATCCCTCCATCTACCCATCACCCTCAAATCAGTTGTGTGAAGGTCTGTTGAACTACCATGTTTGTTGTCTTACTGAAGCATTTTGATACGTCCTTCCGAGATGAAAGTTACAATATAAATGTAATGTGTTGTTGTTGACAACTCCTCCTTCAATGTGTATGTCAGCGTCTTTTAGTTATGTGCCAGCTTATCCTGCAGAGAATTGTACAGAAGTCCAGCTGACGGGATAGTCTCAACAGTACACTAGCTCGCCGGTGCCATATAAATTGACTTTTCATGGGACATTTGTTATTAATGTTGACCAGACTCTTCAATTATACTGTAAACACGAGCAACAACAAAATTACATTTATATAGCGCCTTTCACATCAGGAGCACTGTTAGAGGAGCTCCACACATTTGTTTATTTATGCACAGAGCGATAAGGAGCAAGAAGTGCAACTTCTGCTCCCTTCTATGAATCTCCCTGCTGCTGGAAGTAATGTTAAATCACTTCCAGCAATATAAACAAGGCAATACTTTCACTGGCAACCTGCCGATTTCTCAAGAATAAATTCAAAGTAGGAGCCTTGGTGACATCACCAGCACCAGAGAATTGCCAATATGGTGTTACAATTTCTGCAGAAGACTCACTTCACTCGCTGGGAGGTGAAATTGACTACACATTTGATATCCAATTACATTTTATACTTATTGCACTGGTTTACTTTTATAACCAACCGATGTAATTGCTAACTTCTCATATTGCTATTTTTCCTTCTAAGTTCTATAAAATTCAATCCCTTGTTAAGCAATTCACTCTACCAAGCACAAGTTGGCAGACCGTTTTCACATGAAGGAAGACTCTATTGGGCTATTATCATCCACCGAAAATTTTGTTCCAGAGCAGCACTGGAGGATGCTGACTTCACTGGTTATGGAAAGGAGTGGGTTGTTGGCTGAAGACCTTTCGTTTCGAGCGTGCCTTTGGTCACCTTTCTCCTCCTCCCCCTGGCTCGGCCCCAGGATCCGTTACTGTGAAGTGCTCTGAGATGCCATCCGGCGTGGAGGGTGCTATATAAATCCAAGTTGTTGTTGTTGTCGTCACAGGGAGACCCTCACAAACGGAAACAAAATTAAATGTAGATTGCCATCGGCTGGGTTCAGCGTCTCACTGAATTCAGAGATGCTGGCAATGCCTCCTGCGCAAAGTGCGCAACATGCAGAAAATAACATCAATGGTTATCCAAAATTGGAATCTGGATTTACTGGTCTTCTGGTTATCGGTTTCACAGTAGACCTGTGTTAGAAGCAAGGCGGTGATGTATTGAAGGGGTACCCTGTACTTGCAAGAAATAAAGCAGCTTGAAATACTTTGTAACCTGCGAATATTTGTACTGCCAGTCAAATAGGTTACACAGATACAAAACCATGTAATGTGTCGAACTAACCCTAATCCTTGTCAAACTGGCCATCCATCCAAACAGGTGCATCCAGAGCACCGATTCATCAACAGATGGGACATTTTTTAGAAGTCAAAAAGAGACAGACTAGATTTCTGGACGACAGCAGTAGGACAACAGCCGCAAGTTATCCAAACTGTTGCCAAGCCATATATAAGGCCTTACATATCCGGAAAATCCAGGAGGTGTGCGACAACTGGACAAAGATGCTCAGTCACCAAAATAAGTGCAGGTGGAACGGTGGCCAAAGCAGTAGCAAAACTCAGGCCGACAATCATGTGAGCAACTGTGCTGAGAGAACAAAGAGGAAAGGGAGGGAGAGATAGAGACTTTGTCAAGTTCTGCAATGAACCAGCATAATCAGGAACAAATCCAATCAAAATAAGTGAAACCACTGATATGAAGCTTAGTTCTCAAGATGCCCATATCAATCTGTTACCTATGATATGCATTCACAGAACATGAACCATGTGCAATACAGGGTGAGCCAGAACAATGTTACATGATACAAAAAACATTTGTGACATTGTCTGACAGCTGCTTATGTGTTTATGAGGCCCTATTGAGGCATTACTCTATAGACTACTTTCCAATGGTCGATCCTCTGTCCACAGCTTATCCAGCACATCCAAGAGATTTCCTTATCCAGTTTCCAAATTAAACTTCGGACGCACAAGCGTCTAAACTGAAATGTGCTATCCATAACAGCAAGAAATTCGCCAAAGAACCCAGGACAGAGCTAAATCGGTCTGCACAATTTAACGTACCTGCAGAAAATGCTGCCCAGGGGATAGCTGGTGAAACTGAGTGCATGCCTGCTTCCCCATCTTCAAAGCTCTCTGCTGCCTGAACAAAATAAGAAAGGCACAGTTCAGTTTGGCCACCTTGACTCACTTCCAAAATATAAAAAACTCATTAAAAGAATGAATAGTCATCAGAGTTTTTTCGGAATGAAAACGCCAACCTGGACGTAAGATGAGAAAGTGGTTCAGAGCTTGCTCAGGGGGCACTTGGAAACCACTTTCCACTCGTCCATCTGAATGCAGTTAAGGCACATTATATGTTCTCAGGTCATATCTTGATGAGATGTTTCATCCTTGAACATATTCATTCATTTTGGAACTCAACCTCAACACCAGGTCAAAAAAATAAATTTGGTTTCCACATGGCGATCCCAGCCAACATCTAAGTGGCTAATTCTCCCCTTGTAGGGAGCATAGACCAAATAAAAGAAACAAAAACCGGCAAAAAGAACAAGAGAAATTTAAATTTCATGCATCCACAATCATGTTTTTTGCTGCGCTGCCTTTGAGGCATACGTTGCAAAACTGAGCTGTGGAAATATGTCCTGATTTCAGCTGAACTCGCTCCCTTTACAAGATTATTAAAATTCCATTAAAAGTGGAGTCCCGTAGTGTAGTGGTTAGCGCCCCTGCCTCGCAAGAGAGAGGACCCGGGGTCATTTCCCGGGAAGGGCGAAATTTACGCAAGTTTCCTTACTCCACATTCTTCTGCTTTACCTAGCAGTAAATAGGAACCCCTGTAAAATCCCTCCCCCAAAAAATCACTCAATGCCATGTTTCGCCCACAAAATACAAAGTCAAGTATATTCTGTGAAGCGATTTGTGATGTCTCAATGATGATAAGGAGTATAGCAATTGCAAGGATTATTATTATAAAAACAAAAAAGAATTTATGTTGGGCCATTTTACAAATTTCAAAATAAAAAGGATGGGACTGGATAACTACCTGCTCAAAAAGAGTATTAGAGGGGGCAGATGCAGTACCAGACCATACAGTTTACAAGAGAAAACATGTTGTTGGATTGACTCTGCGGCAATACACAGCAGCTGATACGAGTCAGCCATCTGCTTTGGCTGTCAATGCTCCAATGCCTCTCCACTACCCACTCCAAATTGTTTTTGTGCATTTTACATCTGCACAAATTCAAACTTTGCACCCTTGGCTGGCATCTTCCAAGCTTTCCTGCCACCCGTCCCGTTGCAATGTCTTGCGGGCTCCCCACTCCATTCTTATCTGACGGCACCCAACCGAGAACTTTCCCACCTATCACCTTAGCGACTGTGCTCCTTGAAAGGGATGTTCTTGGGACTGAGCAAGCTTGCCAAGTGAAAATCAGAATTGAATTAACCCTCTGCAGTGGTCTTGGTAGTCCAGTCCCTGAACCAGATGGGTCCGCAGTACTCCAGGTCACTGCTGATGACAGCCCAGTCAGGCTGCCTCTCAGTATGATTTGGAGGGTTGGGGGCAGGAGTTCTTTCCACTCAGCTCCTTTGCAAGCCAGAGGCCTTACAGGGAGGGTGGTTGTGGTTGGACAAGCAATGGTGCTGTTAATGACAACCTTTGCAGATTGAGCGGGTTAAACTCCAGGAGAACCGCAACGCACAGTCTGGGGTCCCCAAGCCTTGGCTCTTGCAAATCTGGGCCTTAACCTCTTTGAAATTAAGAAAGCATGGCACAATCCAAGGAGACAGCACGTCTCCATTCTAGACATAGGAACATTTCCATGCTTCCATGTGTAAGTAGCCAGACAACAATGAGCCAGAGAGGCTGATCAACCTTCGCTGACCTCTTGCTCATCAGGCGAGTCAATTCAGAAACAGCTGAACCCAGAAATGATCCGATGACTTTCCAATCCAAATTCAATGGACACTTAAATAGACTTCACAAGCAGAGATTCGTTAACTATCTGTTGAAACTGGATATGAAATAGGATTCCACAAAATAAACTGAAGAGCTTCCTCACATTGTACCACTCAACCTTGAATGCATCGATGCTCAATTTAACAGAAAGATGCCAGATTCCAACACAGCACCCAAACCCTTAACACATACCTCGAAACCTCCAAAGTCGTCATCATCCATTTTTCAGCATGCACCTAAAAATAAAAATCAGCAAGTCGCTTCATGTCCAATTATTATGTGCAAGAAAGTGGTGTCTAAAAAATATATCAACAGAAAATATTCTTCACTCTAGTTTTAACTATATTGGCATAAACTCCATTCAGAGTACCCCCACCTCAATCCACTGCAAAATCTCTTTGTCTTGTTTCCTCTGATGGCCTTCAAAACCTTCTGTAAAAAATATTTCTCTTTGATCGTGCTTTTGGTCAAGTTCTCAATTATCCCATCTGCCTGCCCTACTCCATACCTTCACTTTGTCCCATCCCTCCACACCTTTAAAGCCTGCCTTAACTTTCTTTGGTCACCTTTCCCCTCCTACCTTCCAATCGGCTCTGTAAGGCCCATAAATATACAGTCAATTAACTTTACAATATATTCTGTGAAGCGCTTTGAGACGCCTAGAAGACATGAAAAGTGCTATATCAAATGCAAGGATTATTTTATAAGGCACTTTGAGACATCCTCTCGACATGAAAGCCATTGTATAAGGTTTTACCTCTCTGCATTCTGAGGCTTGCCAATTGTGTAAATTATCACAAAAGGAGGGGCGGGGGAATCATCAAATGGTCTACGCTTTTAAAGTTAACAAATTAATAAATCTGTCTATCACAGAATTTTTACATTGGTGTACAACGTAGAGAGAAGCTGCTGTATTCACCTACAAATACACAATCAAATACAAAGATAATTATATTATAAACACAATTGCAAACTAAAAGTCTTCCTGTGGTAAGGATTGTGCACTCCCCAGTCACCTGCTCGTCATACTCGAATGTTGCCAGCAAAAGGAGGTTGGCAGACGTACAGTAGTTTGTAAATGAAGTCAGTAGGTGACATTGTGGATCAGCTATTGTCCTGACAATGTCCCACGGCCCAGCCGGCAGGCCTCAGGCCTGGAGGCTGCTGGGAATAAACAGCTATGTTCCCACACACCTGCGAGAATCCCCCCCCCAGTCACCCCACCAACCAACCCTCCATCACCCCGGTTACAACAACAACAACTTGGATTTATATTGCGCCCTCCACGCCGGACGGCGTCTCAGAGCGCTTGTTACCTGCTTCCCCTCTCCCAGTGACACCCAAGTCGCACCCCAGTCATCCCAGTTCCACCCCCATTAGCAACTTCCCATCCTGATTGCCTTCCCCACTCCAGGTTGACTGTTTCTCCCCCCTTGGGTTACCTGTCTCCCCCCCCAGGTTAGCTGTCTTTCCTCCCCCCCCCCTCGGGTTACCTGTCTCCCCCCCCAGGTTAGCTGTCTTTCCTCCCCCCCCCTTGGGTTACCTGTCTCCCCCCCCCCAGGTTAGCTGTCTTTCCTCCCCCCCCCCTTGGGTTACCTGTCTCCCCCCCCCAGGTTAGCTGTCTCTCCTCCCCCCCCCCTTGGGTTACCTGTCTCCCCCCCCCCCAGGTTAGCTGTCTCTCCTCCCCCCCCCTTGGGTTACCTGTCTCCCCCCCCAGGTTAGCTGTCTTTCCTCCCCCCCCCTCGGGTTACCTGTCTCCCCCCCCAGGTTAGCTGTCTTTCCTCCCCCCCCCCGGTTACCTGTCTCCCCCCCCCCAGGTTAGCTGTCTTCCTCCCCCCCCCCCCTTACCGTCCCCCCCCCCCAGGTTAGCTGTCTCTCCTCCCCCCCCTTGGGTTACCTGTCTCCCCCCCCCAGGTTAGCTGTCTCTCCTCCCCCCCCCCTTGGGTTACCTGTCTCCCCCCCCAGGTTAGCTGTCTCTCCTCCCCCCCCCTTGGGTTACCTGTCTCCCCCCCCAGGTTAGCTGTCTCCTCCCCCCCCCTTGGGTTACCTGTCTCCCCCCCCAGGTTAGCTGTCTCTCCTCCCCCCCCTTGGGTTACCTGTCTCCCCCCCCCAGGTTAGCTGTCTCTCCTCCCCCCCTTGGGTTACCTGTCTCCCCCCCCAGGTTAGCTGTCTCTCCTCCCCCCCCTTGGGTTACCTGTCTCCCCCCCCAGGTTAGCTGCTTTCCTCCCCCCCCTTGGGTTACCTGTCTCCCCCCCCAGGTTAGCTCTCTCCCCCCCCCCTTGGGTTACCTGTCTCCCCCCCCCAGGTTAGCTGTCTCTCCTCCCCCCCCCTTGGGTTACCTGTCTCCCCCCCCAGGTTAGCTGTCTCTCCTCCCCCCCCTTGGGTTACCTGTCTCCCCCCCCCAGGTTAGCTGTCTCTCCTCCCCCCCTTGGGTTACCTGTCTCCCCCCCCCAGGTTAGCTGTCTCTCCTCCCCCCCTTGGGTTACCTGTCTCCCCCCCCCAGGTTAGCTGTCTCTCCTCCCCCCCCCCTTGGGTTACCTGTCTCCCCCCCCCAGGTTAGCTGTCTCTCCTCCCCCCCCTTGGGTTACCTGTCTCCCCCCCCCAGGTTAGCTGTCTCTCCTCCCCCCCCTTGGGTTACCTGTCTCCCCCCCCCAGGTTAGCTGTCTCTCCTCCCCCCCCCCTTGGGTTACCTGTCTCCCCCCCCAGGTTAGCTGTCTTCCTCCCCCCCCCTTGGGTTACCTGTCTCCCCCCCCAGGTTAGCTGTCTCTCCTCCCCCCCCTTGGGTTACCTGTCTCCCCCCCAGGTTAGCTGTCTCTCCTCCCCCCCCTTGGGTTACCTGTCTCCCCCCCCCAGGTTAGCTGTCTCTCCTCCCCCCCCTTGGGTTACCTGTCTCCCCCCCCCAGGTTAGCTGTCTCTCCTCCCCCCCCTTGGGTTACCTGTCTCCCCCCCCCGGGTTAGCTGTCTCTCCTCCCCTCGGGTTACCTCTCCCTCCCCTCGCCTCGGGTTACCAGCCTCCCCCCCCCGGGTTACCTGCCTCCCCCCGGGTTACCGGCCTCCCCCCGGGTTACCTGCCTCTCCACGGTTGCCAGGCGACTCCTCCCTCCCACTCTGTTCCCGAGCCTCGGCCTCCTCACCGGAAGCTGTTGGAGCGCGCGGTGTTTGTGCGCGCGCAGCTCGCTCCAGCCAGAGCGCGAGAGCATCAAACCTGCAGCGAGGTCAGTGCCAACTGCAATCACACTGCAGCTGCACAGCGGGTCTGTGGGCAGGAGAGTGCTCGGCGTCACATTGGAAAGTTTGCACCGCACAGTATTGCAAGTCTGTGCAGAGAACGGCTTACACACCCATTCAGTCACACAAATTGCAGGCGTTTCGAGAAGTGCCTGCATGGCACAGTGGTGCAGTCTCTCATGTGGCTCCCTGTATGTGCAGAGGAGCACTTGATGGTAGCAGCAAGCGGGAGCAATTGCATTTCACATCACAGAATCATAGAATTATACAGCACAGAAGAATGCCATTCAGCCCATCGTGTCTGTGCCGGCTCTTTGAAAAGAGCTTTCCAATTCAATCCCACTCCCACACGCTCTCCCCATAGCCCTGCAAACATGTACTCCTCAAATAATTATCTACTTCTCTCTTAAAAGTTGTTATTGAATGGTTTCCACCATCCTTTCAGGCAATGCATTCCAGATCCAAACAACTCGCTGTGTGAAAACATTTCTCCTCACCTCCGCTCTGTTTCTTTTAACAACTTTTAAATCAGTGTCCTTGGGTTACCAACCCACCCACCAGTAGAAATAATTTCTCCTTGTTCAGCCAATCAAATCGCCTCATAACTTTGAAAACTTCTATTGTCTCCCCTTAACCTTCTCTGCTCCAAGGACAATAATCCTCGCTGCTCCAGCCTCTCCTCATAACTGAAGTCCCTCATTCCTGGTACCATTCTGGTAAATTTCCTTTGCACCCTCTTCAATGCCTTGACCTCCTTCCTAAAGTGTGGGGCCCACAAATGAACACAGTCTCTCGCTGAGGCCAACCAGTGTTTGTAAAGTCTGTTCATCATAACTTCCTGACTTTTGTATTCATTCTTCCTCCCAAAATGCATCAGTTTGCATTTCTCCACATTAAACTTGATCTGCCATGTGTCTGCCCATTTTATGAGTCTGTCTATGTCAATTTACTGTCTGCTACTGTCCTCCTCACTGTTTTCTGATTTTTTAGCTTAGTATCATCTGCTAACCCAAGTCCAGGTCATTCATATAGATTAAAAACAGCAGTGGTCCCAATACCGACTGCTGCGGGACACCGCTGCACATTTCCCTCCAGTCAGAAAAACATCTATTCACCACCACTCTCTGCTTTCTGTTTCCCAGCCAGTTCTGTATCTATGCTGCCACTGTCCATTTAATACCGTGGGCTTCTATTTTGCTTACAAGTCTCTTATATGGCACTTTATCAAACGCCTTTTGAAAATCCATACAACGACAACAAATTTACATTTGTATAGTGCCTGGACAGTCAGTGTTTCGAACCAGAGCTGGGGATTGGAAAGGGTGGAAGGAGAGTTAACAAAAGCATGGTCAAAGAGGAGAGTCTTGAGATGGGTTTTGAAGGAGGCAAGGGAGGGGGAGAGGCGGAGGGGTTGCGGAATGGAGTTCCAGAGGGTGGGGGCAGAGTAGCAGAAGGCCTGCCCGCCAATGGTAGGGTGGGGTGAGGCGGAGGATATGAAGCAGGCCGGAGCCCGCTGAGCAGAGGGAGTGGGCAGGATGGTAGGGCATTATGAGGTCGCAGAGGTAGGGGGAGAGCAAGGCCATGCAGGGCTTTGAAGGTGAGGACCAGGAACTTGAACTGTATCCTCTGTGTGATGGGAAGCCGGTGGAGTCGGGTGACGATGGGGGTCATAGGGTCACAGAGCCTGGTGCGGGAGAGGACACGGGCTGCAGAGTTCTGGATGATCAAGCCTCGAAGTTTGCATAATCAAACCTGGATGTTATGAAGGTGTGTATGGGGGTCTCGGCAGCCTGCGGTGTGAGACAATGGCGGAGCCAGGCAATGTTGCAGAGCTGGGGGAACGCAAAGCAAGTGATGGCACAGATGTGGGGTAGAAAGGATAGTTGAGGATCAAACAAGACACCAAGGTTCCAGCGTTTACAAGCTACATCAACTGGACTACCTTCATCCACCCTCTCTGTTACTTCATCAAAAAACTATTAGGTTTGTTAGACACAATTTGCCTTTAACAAATCTGTGTTGGCTGTCCTACATTAATCTATATTTTTCTAAGGGAAAATTATAGTCTCAAAAAAGTTTCTCCACTACTGACGTAAGGCTGACTGGCTTATAGTTCTCAGGTTTATCCTTCTGCCCCTTTCAGTACAGGGGAGTAATATTTGCAACTCTCAAGTCCTCTGGCACCCCTCCAGTTTCCAAGGACGATTGAAAGATTGTGGCCAGAGCTTCTGCTATTTCCACTCTTACTTCCTCTCAGTAACCTAGGATGCATCCCGTCTGGACCGGGTGACTCATCTACCTTGAGCACCGACAACTTTTTCAGTACCTCCTCTCTATTTATTCCTATCCTATTCCAATTTCTCTACCCTCTCCTCTCATACTGTGGCATTGGCTGCATCCTCTTCTTTTGCAAAGTATTCATTCGGTAAGTCAGCCATGCCCTCTGCCTCCAAGAAGATTTCCTCGTTGGTCCCTAATTGGCCTACCCTACCTTTGACTGACCTTTTATTCTTTACGTGCTTATAAAATACCTTAGGGTTCCCTTTGATGTTGCCTGCTAATCTTTTCTCATACAATCTCTTTGCACCTCTTATTTTCTTTTTCAGTTCTCCTTTGTACTTTCTATATTCTATTTGTTTATCTTCTGTATTTTGGATCTGACATTTATCATAAGCCTCCTTTTTCTGTTTTATTTTAATCCCAATTTCCTTGTTCATCCAGGGAGGTTTGAATGCCCTACCTTCCCCCTTTGTGGGAATGTATTTGTTCTGTTCCCGAACTATCGGGAGTCCTGTAGCTCAGTGGTTAGAGCACTCGCTTTGCAAGCGAGAGACCTGAGTTCAATTCCAGGCAGGGCGAAACCTTGGGCAAGTTTCCTTACTCCACACGCCTAATAATAATCCCTCCAAAAAAAAACAGAACAATAATAAATTGGTCATTTTCAACCTACGACTGTTTGTGGGACATTGCTGTGCGCAATTGGCTGCCGCGTTCGCCCACAAATATACAGTCAATTCACTTTACAGTGTGTTCTGTGAAGCGCTTTGGGACGTCCTCCCGACGTGAAAAGCGCTATATCAAATGCAAGGATTATTATTATTATTATTATCTACATGAAGACTTCCCTTTGCCTGCCAATCTTTCTTTCCAGTCCATCTTGTCTAGGTCCCTTAATAAACTCACTGAGCCCTCTTCCAGTTGAGTATCTTCACCTTTGATGTTCTTGTCCCTTTCCATAAGTATTCTAAACCTAATGATGTTGTGATCACTGTTGTCCAGATACTCTCCAACTAAAACCAACTCCACTTGCTCCACTTGATTACGCAGAACTAGACCAACACTGCTTCCTTCCTCATTGGTCTGGAAACATACTAATCCAGAAAGTTACCCTGCACACATTTCAGGAATCATTCCCCTCCTTGCCCTTTACAGTGTTATTTTGCCAGTCTATGTTAGGATAATTGAAGTCCCCCATTATCACTACTCAATTGGATTTGCATTTTTCTGAAATCTGCTTGCAGATTTGCTCGTCTATCTGCTTCCCACTATTTGGTGGTCCATAGTATACACCTAACAGATTAACAGCTCCTTTTCTGCTCCTTAACTCTAACCAAATAGATTCTGTTTTTGGACCCTCTAGCACATCGTACCTTTCCAGAACCATATTGTAATCAATATTGCCAAACCCCCTCCTTTTTTATCTTCCTTATCCCTCGTGAAGCCACAGTACATTTGCTAGATTGTAGCCAGGAATATTCAGCTCCCATTCCTGTGCCTTGTTTGAGCCAGGTCTCCATTATTGCCACTACATCATAACCCCATGTGGCAACTTGAGCCTGCAGCTCACCAATCTTATTTGTCACATTCCATGCAAATACACACATGCACTCCAATACTTAGTCTGCTCTGAATTTCTCCCCTGTCTAATCCCTCCTTTTTCTGGATTACTCCTTATTGCATTGCTATTTGTCTCTCCCAGTCCTCTATGTAACATATTCTCCTCTCTGATGCTGCATCATGATTCCTTTCCCCCTTGAAATTAGTTTAAACTGTTCCCCACAACACTCCCTCCTTGCGAGAATATTGGTCCCAGCCCTATTCAGGTGTAACCCATCTACCTTGTAGAGGTCCCATCTACCTCAGAACTAGTCCCATTGATCCAGGAACCTGAAGCCCTCCTTTCTGCACCATTTCTTCAGCCATGAATTCATGTATTTGATCCTGCTGTTATGATATTCACTTGCACAAGGCACTAGGAGTAGTACCCCCCCACCTTTGAGGTGCTACTCTTTAGCTTTTTCCCTAGCTTCTGAAACTCTCCCTGTAGGATCTCAGCCTTTTTTTCCCTACGACATGGATCCCAACATGGACCACAACTTCCCGATGTTCCCCTTCCTCCTGTAAAATGTTTTGCACCCATTCCATGATGTCGTCAACCGTGGCACCAGGGAGGCAACATACCTTGCGAAAGTCACATCATTGGTTACAGAAATGCCTACCCCTTTCACTGTTGTTTCCCCATTGACACTCTTCCTTTTGTTCCTCTGTGCATCCATTTGCTTTTGACTCCTCACCCCAGAGGTGTTATCACCCTCATGGTATTCAGTACAGAGAACCAGTTTGCGAGTGCCATACTCTCAGGGGATTTCTGCACTGCCCATACCATGCCAGGTGGTCACCCACTCACTCTCCTTCTGAACCCTCTGTGGCTGTGGTGTGACCACCTCCTGAAATGTTCGATCCTCCTACATGCTATGTTGTGACTCCAGCCTCTCCTTGAGCTCAGAAACACTGAGCTGAAGCTCAAGCACCCAAAGGCACTTCCTACACATGTGTTTGTCCAGGGCACACAATGCATCCTGAAGTTTCCACATGGCAAACATTGAGCATGCAATGGGTCTCAG